GTTCTGGCGCACTTCGAAGTGAAGTATGCCGCTGGGCCGTGGGCGACCGAGCTCCCGAGCAGCAGCCTCGCCGAATATGGCCTTTCGATACTGAAGCCCGAAGCTGCAGACGCCGCCTTAAAGGTTAAGAAAGGCAAATCCAAGGGCAAAAGCAAAGCCAAGGCCAAAGGCAAAGCCAAACCTCACGAGACTGGAATGAAATGACCAGCTGCGGCAGCCGATGTCCTCGAAGAGCCAGCCGAGAAGAAACGCACTGGCGACGGCGAATCAGAGACTCCAGAGATCTCCAATGGAACCGATGTCATGAACACGCTCCCGCCCAAGGCCAGGATCACCAACCTCGAGCCTAGCCGCAAATCCTACACGCTGCCAAAGGCCGACGGCGACGCTGCCATCTCCGTTCTACTCGAAAGGAAGGCGTTCTACATAAAGCCAGCGTCCGAGGCCCAGTTCGAGAAAACCAGGAACGACGGTGGGTTCACAGAGCTCCTCAAAGACAGGCAGCTCAACTCAGCCTCGGGGACCCAGGTCGGTTTTCACGACGATCCAGCCCTTTCCTTCGACGCGGTGGTTGCGATGGCAGCGCCGACCGATGAAGCCTGATGCCGTTCGCGCTGCCCCGATCGAGACATCAGCGTCGCTGGCGCTACAGGCGCCTTAGATCAAGGTGGAGTAGCAGCAGCGCACACACACAAAGCATTCCTCCTTCATTCTCCTCATCTGCCTCCTCCAAGCCCCCCTCCAATCAAAGAGGGGGGATGGGGGAAGTGAGAGAGATAGAGAGATGGGGGAAAAGAGATCACGATAGACAGGGAGAGCAATCGACATAGAGAAACCGAACACGCGAGAGGGATCGAGAGAAAGAGAGACGCATACTACGGGAGGGAGAGAGCGAGAGAGAGAGAGAGAGAGAGAGAGAGAGAATGAGAATGATAGCAAGATAGACACCCAGCTGGAACTCAATCGAAGCTCCCATTTTGAAACGGAGATGCCAGTGACCTCGCCTTGTAAGCCTTTGCCCCCCCCCCCCCCCCTCCCCCCCCAGCCCCCAGGGGCCTCGAGCCCCGCCTCCTGAAGTGGAGCTCAAGCGAGAACACCGTTTTGGAAAAGGAGCCGCCCTCAACCTCATCCTCTGTGCCCTCTCTCCCCCCCCCCGCCCCCAGAGGCCTCGGGCCCCGCCTCTCGCGGCGCCTCCCCCCAAGTTCCTCCAGAGCGCCCCATCGGGAACTCAAGCGAGAACACCGTTTTGAAAGAGGAGCCGCCCTCAACCTCATCTTCTGTGCCCTCTCTGCCCCCCCCCCCCCTCCAGCCCCTAGAGGACTCGGGCCCCGCCTCTCACGGCGCCCCCCCATGTCCCTCCAGAGCGCCCCATCGGGAACTCAAGCGAGAACTTCGTTTTGGAAAAGGAGCAGCCCTCAATCTCATCCTCTGCGCCCTCTCTGCCCCCCCCCCCCCCCCAGCCCCTAGAGGCCTCGGGCCCCGCCTCTCACGGCGCCTCCCCCAAGTCCCTCCAGAGCGCCCCATCGGGAACTCAAGCGAGAACACCGTTTTGAAACAGGAACCGCCCTCAACCTCATCTTCTGCGCCCTCTCTGCCCCCCCCCCCCCCTCCAGCCCCTAGAGGCCTCGGGCCCCGCCTCTCACGGCGCCACCTCTCAGGTCCCTCGAGAGAGCCTAAAGGGGAACTCAGGCGAAACGCCAACAGGCAAAACCATTTAAACGTAGCCAATGCGTCGGGGCAAACGAGCACGCCGCAACGACGCAAAAACACGAACAGGACAAACGAACAAACAAGCAGGCAAGCAGAGCAAACGACCAGGCGAGCAGAGCAAACAAGCAGGCGAGCAGTGCAAACTAGCAGGCGATAGAAACAACTGAGCAGGCTAGAGACGGCGGCAACGACATGCCCCGCGCCGCTGGCCCCCGTTCATCCACGGCTCTCGCACTGACGATCGAACGCGCACATGTGCAGTGATGTCAACGAGTATTGGTTGCGCCTGTATCGGTCACACCACATTGTTTTGTATGTGAATATGAGACCTGCATATATGATATATGAAATACAGACATGCGCACATTCCAAAATTTAGAGGATTACGCCACCCTACAAAATTTAGGAGATCAAGTACAAAATGTATATCAGCACTCGCACGGCGCAATCACTTTTAGTAGTTTCCAAAAAACAGAAGGATCGGATGACCAGGGTCTCTCTGGGGCTTCGACCTCATCAGGGTGCGCGAGAAGTTCCTCGACGTTTGCCTCGAGCTGGAGCTGCAGCAGTGGAGCCCCGTGCTCTACGTGGGGCGACACACTGGGGCGCCCCTCGACCGCCTAAAGAACAGGGTGAGCCTGTCCGAGTCCGAGGTGCAGAAGAGGGGGCGATGGCGGTCCACCGCCAGTGTCAGGCGGCACGAGAAGCGGGCGCTGGTCCAGGAGGTCTTCAACAGCCTCGGGGCCGGCGTGCGCAGGTTTTGCCTCACTGGCGCAGGCCAGCTCCACCGCGCCAGAGCGCCCGACAGAAGATGAGCGCTTTTCGCATCGAAGTTTTCAGTGGTCAGGGCGAGTTCACCAAGGCTGTTTGCCGTCGGGGCTGCAAGTCTTTCAATTTTGACGTACTTCAAGGGCCTGGGGTATAACTGTTTCGAAAAGCTGTCCTGAGGAGGATCCCGCTTCTCATCAAAAGCCCTCAGTGTTTCGGTGCATTCCTGGCGCCTCCTTGCACGACGTTTAGCATCGCCAGACGGCCCGCCATTCGTACCCGAGAACATGTACACGGCGTGCCCAATTTTTGCGAACGCGATTGTCTTAAACTCGAACAAGCCAACTATCTCGCTCACCAAACTGTCCTTCTATGTAAACTGTCGATGCAGTTCGGCGCGCCGGTCATGTTAGAAAACCCGCAGACCAGTCTCTTGTGGCAAGTTCCAGAAATAAGACAACTTTCTGCCAAACCAGAGCTTGGTTTGAATACCTGTCATACGTGCAGGTGTGGTGCTCGGTGGCGCAAGGCAACCTCGGCCATGAGTTCCGGTATCTCCAACATCTCGTCGATCGCTCGCGCGTGCCAGAGCCGCCCACTAGCGCCATGCAGTTTCTCTAAGCAGCCGCATATCACTCTCTCCGGCGCAGACCCGTCGGGAGTCAAGTGGGCCCGACGGGCAGCCGCGTATCCCAGACGCTTGGCCATGGAGATGGCGACTTTGTTCGTTGATACTACCTTCACTAAAGAGCTTGAAAAGCAGCGAGATTTGTTCCGTCTGCGACCTGGCCTTGTTCGCTCGTGATCCTGATGTCTTGTGTTCCTTTTCTTTTTCCCCGACCCGCCCTCCCTGTACCACTTCGTTATACTTGCGAATTATGGAGCTCTGTTGTATATCAAGAGCGTTGCGCGCGGTTTCTTGAGTTTGGACCGTTGATGCGACACCGTTTGAACAGAGATGGGTTCAAAAACAATTGAGACGTAGGTGATAGGTATGCTGGCATGGGATTCATCTGAGTTGAAAGGGGGTTCGCTCTCTCCGTAGTTCTGTTTCGTTCCCACCCTACATTCCCTTTTCCTTCCCGAAAGTTTAAGGCTCACGTACCTCACGAGTCTGGCACCAAGCAACTTTTCAAGCCTGCGCCCCGTGGCGGGGCACTGTTGTATATCAAGAGCTCTGCGCGCGGATTTTCACGAGTTTGGATCGTTGATGCTACACCGTGTGAACAGAGATGGGTCCAAAAACAATTTAGACGGACGTGAACGCCATTCCGTTCCCTCACCGCCCTCGGAGAAAGCACCCTCTCATTTTTCTTCCCCCGCATGTCTTCCCTCTTCCAGTGTACACCGCTCCTCTGATGGCGCATGACGCGATGGTGTCCTCTTGAGGGTTCCAGGTCCGCTGAGACACCCGTCGGCGAACCGAGAATGAATCAGCTGCATAGGAAGGGATGGGTGGGAGGGGTCAGATGCCAGATATGGCGCGAGCGCATCCACTTTGCACCCCCGCCGTTTCCCATGCCCTCCTCCCCTCCTTTTCTTCGTTGGGGCAGGGTTCGGTGGAGCCGACTCAGCATCGGCAGCGCCCAGGCCTATTCCGATTCGGTCGATCCGATTCGATGCCGAGGTCGCCAGGCTCGGTCCGATTCGATTTTGGTGTCTTGGCGATCCGTTTGAAGCCCGATGTTTGCAGAGCGCATGCGAGCGCAGCCGATGTGATCCGATCTCGACTCCGTGCCGATGCGGCCCGATCCGACGCACATTCCGATCCGATCCGATCCGGTTCCCCGAAACGATGTAGACTGATCTTGCCTTACCCCCCCCCTTCCCCCTCCTCCCGCACCTCCTCCCCGCACCCCCCCCCCCGCCAGGGCACCAGGCTCACACGTATCGCCCTCGCGACGCCACCGCTTTCATCTTTCCTGCGGCCCTCCGTCCAACCATTCATGCACCCATCCGTGCCGAACACCCGCCTCCCTCCATCCCTCCCCCGCTCCCTTCGTCCATTCCTCCTCCCAGATTGGCCATGTTGCCAGTGCGTCTCACGCTCGGGCGCGTTTGCCCGCATGTTCGCACCTCTTCCAGGCCCGCCTCGCTGTCCGTGTCACCCCCTCTTTGCTCGGACCTGCCTCTTCGGAGGCAGGCCAATCCAGCATCCAGCATCCCTTCCTCCTCCCCTCCCCCTCATCCCGCGTCCCCCACCATCTCCCCCCCCTTCTCTCTGTCTCCGTCCCCCGCCCAGGCCGAGGAGGAGGAGGAGGAGGAGGAGGAGGAGGAGGAGGAGGAGGAGGAGGAGGAGGAGAGGGCTGAGGCAGGGGGAGAGGGGGCGGAGCAGGCGGGAGGAGGAGGGAGGGAGGGGGCGGAGGGAGGAAGAAGAAGGAGGGCAGGGAGGGGGACGAGAGGACGAGGAGGGGGGATCAGGGCGGAGGAGGGGGGAAGGAGGACCAGGGAGGGAGAGGAACGAGAAGTGGAGGAGCAGGAGGAGGGGTGGAGGAGAAGGCGCCGTGGGCACGCGTCCCCAGATCAACCCCGGCAAGGGCGCCAGTTTCACGGTCTCCCTCGTGGGCTATTACCCAGACGAGGGCCACAGTTACGGCAGCTACAGCGGCTCGTGGGGCAAGGGCTCCACCTCGAAGGGCCAATACTCAGGCCGGCAGCGTGGAAGAGGAGGGGCAGGAAGGAGGAGGGCGATATTAGAATGTGCCGAGCGGGGTGGCTTGGGGAACGCCAGGTTGACCGTCGCCCCTCGACTCGAGCGCATTGTGTACAGCCTCCCCCGTCCCACGCGCTCTGTTGGGGCTCGACGTGCCCGTGGCTCGAGGGCCCCGACGGGGCGGCGGACCTTCTCACGATGCTGCCAGAAGTGGGCCTGGCGCGAGGTGTTCTCATCTCTTCGTGCGGTGTGAAAGCCCCTGGGGCCCTCCTGGGCCTCGTGCAGGGTGTTCCGGAGGCCTCTTGGGCCCCCCGAGCATCCTGAGAGGCACCGTGGGCCAGGGACACTTCTAGCAACACCTGGAATTCAAGATGTCTGCCCCCCCCTTGGTTGGTTTGTGTTTCCTGTGTGTTTGTTCACTGCGGCCTTTTCTTCCAAAATGGTGCTCCCGCTGCAGCGCCGCCCTCATTTCCGCGCTTTGGTCATTCAAAATCGTGTTCCCGCTGCAGCACTGTCCTCGTCCCCGCGCCTCCAGACGGCTCTTGGCATTCGAAAGTGCCACCATCGGGCAGGCAGGGAGCCGACGTTCTGGACAAGCCTTGTCTTCTCGTAGATGGGCCATTTACCCTCCAAGTCATCCGGTGCCATGTCACGGCATGCAATCCGATGTTGTGTTGTGCACCGCTGTGTGGCGCCATGTTTTTCGTTGCTATGTTTTGCGATGCAATGCTGTACTATGCAATGCCACACCCATTATATGACGTGCTATGCTCTGCCGTGCTCTTCTACGCCATGCATTTCCATCCATCACATACCATCTTGGGATTATTGGCATGCTCAGCATCCAACGTTCACAGCATAATATATATACATATACAGGTACATATACATATACATATACATATACATGTACATGTGTGCATGCATATCCATACACATATACACATACATACACATATATCTATACATATACATATGCATATACATATACATATACATATGCATATGCATATGCATATGTATATATATATGCATATGCATATACACATTCATATACATATACATATACACATACGTATACATATGTATATAGGTAGGTATGCATGCATGTATGCATGCGTGCATGCATGTATGCATGCATGTATGCATGTATGTATGCATGTATGCATGCATGCATGCATGTACGTATGTATGTATGTATGTGTGCATGCATGCATGCATGTGTGTATGCATGTATGTATGCATGTATGTGTGTATGTATGTGTGTATGTGTGTATGTGTGTATGTATTTGTGTATGTATGTATGTATGTATGCATGTATGTATGTATGTATGTAGGTATGTATGCATGCATGCATGTATGTATGTATGTATGTATGTATGTGTGTATGTATGTATGTATGTATGTATGTACGTATGTATGCATTTATTGATTGATGTATATATGTACGTATGTATGTATGTATGTATGTATGTATGTATGTATGTGTGTATGTATGTATGTATGTATGTATGTATGTATGTATGTATGTATGTATGTATGTACGTATGTACGTGTGTATGTGTATATACATATGAGAGAGAGAGAGAGAGAGAGAGATCCACGCCATGGTAAGGGATTGAAGGGAGGGATAGGACGCCAGGTGTGACGCTAGCGCACCTAGCTTCCCCCCTCCCTCTCCACTCCCCCTGGGAACTCCAGCTGTATTCGCTTCATGCACCATGTATGGGCAAAGCTCCAGACCGTGCTTCTGACACATGAGGAGCCAACGTGTTTCCCGCGCTTTAGCGCCACCGCCGTGCTCTTTCTGGGATCGTCCTCCAGGACGAATGTCGGCGTCCTGTCCTGCCCTGACTAGCCCCCCTCTGCCGGTCCAGGGCTCCGACACGTCCGCACACGGACCTTCCAAGACAGGTGCTTTTTATTTTCCGAGCGAAGGGGGAGGGGGGAGGGGAGCGGGACCAGTCGCGTCGCGCTTCCAGCTGGCCAGACACAGTTCGAAGGTCAGCACGAATCCTGACACTACCTGGCCGGGAGCGGGGGAGGGGCCGTCGCGGCCGCCATCGCGAACGATACCAGAGCAATCGCTGTGAAGGACCCCCGCCACCCAGGTCGGACGCGGGTCTCGGGGTTCCGCCCCCCGCCCTGCTCTCGGGCAGTGACGAAGGGGAGATGGGGGCCACCACAGGTAAGACGTCGCGGGATCGTGTCGGTGGTGCCGGTCTTGGTCTTGGTCCATGTCGGCCGCCGCCGATGCGCGAGGGGGGCCCACGAAAGGACGCCGACCAAGATCGACGCCGACGCGGCGCTTCGGCGTTCAGTCCTGGCCAGGGTCCTCGTTTTGTGCCCCTCCAGCCAGGGGGGGGGGGTCGCCACCTCCTCCAGGGCATCAGGGGTCGAGGAGCGGGGGGGGAGGATCGAGGATCGAGGAGGTGCTGGGCGCCTCTCCCCTGCCTCCCTCCCTCCCCTCCTGCCCTGGCAGGGGGTTCTACGATTCTCTATGATTCGTCCAAGATCCGCCTGTAGGGGGACAGGCCCGACCTAAGCCCAGCGCCTCCTCGATCCTCGACCCCCCCCCCGCTCCTCGACCTCCGATGCCCAGGATGAGGAGGGAGGAAGGGGAAGGGCGCCCAGCACCTCCTCGATGCTCCCTCCCCTGCGCGAGGGGGAGAGCTCGGTCCCTTCCTTCCCATCTGCGGTCGCTAGGTGCCGAGGATACGCACGCAAGGTGAGCAAAGGTTTGCACAAGAGGATGCGCGCGTGCATCTTCGTGTGCGCTTGTGGCGGTGCGCTCGCGGGCTCTGCGTGAGCCTTCCAGATGCGGTCCGACATTTGCACGGCGCTGCTGTGCATCCTGGCGCAACCGATGCGACCCGATCTCGACCCCGTGCCCGTGCAGCCCGATTCGCTGCTGACCGATCCTGCCTCTCACCCCGTCCGTTTCTATCCCGTTGTTTTGGATGCAACTCCTGGGAGGTCAAATTCCGCAACGGCGCTGGTAGATCTGTGAACAAAAACTGGCTTTGCCCAGCCCAATCCCGTTCAGTTCTGCTGAATCCGGCCTAATCCCGGGCGTAAGCTGGCTCAGTGGCCCCTCAGTCGGGCTTACTGGTTTTGTGGGGGCAGTCGTTGAGAAGTGTGCCCAGGAGGCTTCAGACCCTGGAGGATCCTCATCTGTGAGGGCGGCGGTGACACCCATGGTCCAGCCTCAACCTGTGTTCCACCGGCTGTAAGACCCTGGATCCCTCATCCACCGCTTCCTGGTCCAATGCCGGATGCCCTCACCGTAGCCCGCAATCGTTCTGGCGAAGACCTCCCAGTGGCTGGCCTCTCTCATGGGGCGGCGCCCCTCTGTCGACCCCAATCGTGCGGACCCCCCGCAGAGGCTACAAGGGCGAGTACAAGCCCACGTGGCAGCTGGAGACCTCTCCGCCGCGCGCTGCCTCGAGGGGGAGGGGAGGAGGCCCTCGGATCCGGGCGCCGCTGGAAACAACGAGCAACAACAAAACCGCGACAGCACACTTTTTCTTCACGCTTTCGGTGTCTGGGGGGGCCGTTCCCTGGCCCCGGGACCGCCAAACATCGGCTCAGGATGAGAAGCCCAGCCCCAGGGATGGGGGTCGGGATTGCCAGAGGCCCTCGTCGCAAAGAGTTGCCATGCAGTGGTATCACAAGTACTTGGCGGAGAACTGGATCGCCTCTTCAGATCTGCTCGCGCATGATCTCCAGGCGATATGCCGCGTGCTGGAGCACGCGGGCTGCCGCGACCAGCTCAACCTAGCGGCGTTCGAGGTGTTGGCGAGGAGGACGCAGCTCCTGCTGGACGCGGCGAGCCGCGGTTTGGGCGAGAGGCGCTTTGTGGACGAGGAATTGCGGTCGGGGCATCAGCAGGGGGCGGCCCGTGTCGCCCCGGCCTCGACCGCCCACATGGCGACTCGTACGAAGGAGAAGGCAGAGATCGAAAAGCAGCGCCAGAAGGCCCAGGAAGTCCGCGCAGCCGCCTCACCGAAGGCCAAGGCGGGCTCTAAGGGAGCGAGAGGCGCGAATAAGGGGTAGTTGTGCGATGGCGGTTTGCGGGCGCCTCATGGTGGGCCGCTCCTACCTCAGAGGGTCAGCGCTCTTGGGCGCGGTTTAGTGTTCGGCATCAGGACGCTTGGGCTGCTTGGCTTCATCTTCTTTTACGCCATGCAGCCAGAGGTCTTCCCTGTGCCGGCATTGGTGGACGAGGGGCCATGCCGTGCCGGGCAAAGCCGAGGTGCACGCCAACGGGTCACTCGCCGCCAGGCCATCGTTCACCGCACCAACGACGCCATCAGGACTGTCTGAGTGGGTGTGGCGAGGATGCCGCTGTCGGGAGATATGTCGAAGGCGCAGGTCGAGGCCACCCAGCACGTCAGGAGCGTAAATTCGCGTTCTCAGGCTATTGACGTCGTCCCCCGCCCAAATAAACCGCACGCGCGTTTCTGCGTTTCCGAGCCGGCTACGATTCGGATGAGCACATTGTGAGCGATTGCGAGGAAGAGTTGTTGCCCGTGCCAACCTCGCGCAAGGATTGCCCGCGCGCGGTGGGCGTGTTGCCGCCCGAGGCTGCATCTATGCTGGTAGATTTTGAAGAGTGCATAGTCAGGCCTGACATCGAATTTTGGGAGCTGATAGACAACTCTGAGCCGATCGCGCCTTACAGGGGCCGAAATTTATGGGGCGACCGTGACGCGTGCATCAGGTTTGTTCGTCGGCTGGACTCGATTGGGGCGTTGCTGTGGTGCACTTCGGCGAAGGAGCGCGCCGCTGTGTTCTGCGTGGAGAAAAACCTGAGAAGCAGAGTCTGGTGGTTGGAGCCGGTCGCAGCAATCGCCGATTCTGAGATTCCCCCGGGCGGAGCTGGCCGAGGTCGACGACGACTCGGAGGCGTTCGTAAGCACATGGGACGCGCGGGACGCGTGCTGCCGCTTCAAGATCGACGTGGGGCTCAGCAGGTACTTGGCGTCGCCACCCCTGCGGGCGGAGAAGCTCGGTCTTCGCGGGGCCGAAGGAGAGTGGCTGTCTCGCAGTCGCCGGGTGCGCCCCTGCTTCGCGGCACTGCCCATGGGGCTCAGGTGGTCGCTTTACTTCGCACAGGAGGCGGTGACCAAGGAGGTGGGGACCGCCACGGGCGCGGCCGCCGAGCGACGTCTGCAGACGTTCGGCTGGTCGCGGCTGATCGCCTCGGGCGGGGAGCCCCTCGGGGTCCCTTGGCTGCCAGCCCGAGGTTGTGCAGATGAAGAAAGACCAGGCCTGCGCCGCTCTCGATGACGTTGGCTTGGGTACTCATGAGCTAGTTGACGATCGGACGGAGGCTGGGGTGTTAGGCGTGACGATCGACGGCCGTGCTGGGATCGTGGCCACCGCTCTAAAGAGGATGTGGAAGGTGGATCGCTTGCCTACGTGGATGCTGGGTCGCGCCGTCGCCGCAGGCCGTCAACTGGAAGCAACTTCGGGGCCCAAGGAATCCCAATGGGGTGGGCATGATAAAAACAAACGATTGCGAGCAATGTCTGCAGGGAGGCGCGGGAGGCGCTGGAGCCTCCTGCCTCGATGTTCACCGCAGGGGCTCATTCAGAGACTTTCCAATTGGGGGAGGCAGAAGGAGGAATCCCACTACGGGGGGGGGCGTGAGAAAGAATCCCTACCGGGGGGCGCGTGAGAAGGAACCCCAGTTGAGGGACCCAAAGGAATCAAAATTGGGGGCCCCATGCGAAGGGATTTCACTTAGGGAGCACGCTCGGCAGGTTCGGTAGGAGGGCGGTGGAGGCTTCCGCCTGTCTCGATTTCGACGCGGAGACACTACAAGCGTTAGTTTTCGGTTCCCGTTGGTTATTCTCAGGGCGCCACCATTCTAAATTCCGTTAGACATAGCCAAAACGAACATACCCAAAACGACCGTTCTTACTTCGTTTAGGTACGCTCAGAAAAATTGTATACACGATGCCCACGTGCACTTCTTACGCGCGCCAAGCGGCCCCACACGCCCGCCTTACGCACGCAGGCCTAGCGCGGCCCCCCAGAGACTTGAAGCAACCAGAGGGAACCCCAAATCGTGATGCGCACACAGACGAGGCAGGCGCAGCCCGCCTCCTTGCGTCGCTTGGGGGCGGGCGGGTTCCACCTCGCCCGCCCCGTTGCTCGTCTGGCGCTCCGCTGAACGCTCTGACCAACAGCCGATCGCGCCTGACGTTCGCCGGATGAGGCGCTCGCCCCGGGGACGGCACACGGCGCGGAGAAGCAGCAGCAGGAAGAAGGACGGACACGTGAGGAGGAGGAGGAGGAGGAGGAGGAGGAGGAGGAGAAGAAAGGGAGTGGTAGAGCAAAGTCCGCAGACACCATTGATGATGCGATACGCCCTCCCACCTTGATTCTCTTCACATTTTTGTGATGCTGTTTTCTCCCTGTTGATAGAGGGCGCCCACTGGAGAGATGACGATCTTCTGGCATGCATCAGGATCAGGATTTGGGAGGGATGGAATAACGATCATCTTATGGTCTTGCCATGCTTCAGCTTCGGGACCTGGGGTAGTTGTAATGGTCAGAGCCCGATGGCCTTGCCACATGAAGTGGCACCAGGAGGACCAACATGGTGAGAACCACACTGCTTTTGCAATGCGAAAGGTTCCATCTGAGATTCGACCTCGAACGTTGACACAGGTTCTCGACGAATTCGCGCCTGGCGCCCGATCAAGTAAGGCCCCCAATCGCGCCACCTGACATACATTCCATGGAGCCCGTCCGAACTGTTGACGAGCCCCCCGCATCGGCGTTTTCGCATGGGGCGACCTCGCAAGATGTTCTCCTGGACCGCCCAAGAAAGCCACGGCGGAAAAGCGAGGGGAGCGTGCCCTAGAGTGCGTCGTGTTCGTTGGATGTGTTTGTGCATCTTGGGGACGGTACCCTTGGATGTTATGTTGTTTGGCCGACGCAGGGTCTCATGCTCTTGAGGGATGTTATCTTGGCCTAGGTCCGACTGTAAACAACTCAGCGATGACACAATGCCCCGTCTCGTCCCAAGTCCCCTCCTCGTAAGTCCCGGCAAGTATTCAATTTGATTGCGGGGAACGTCTCCCTGAAAGGTCAGCACCCAATATGTTCGAATGTGGCGCATGTGCCCACATTCGTCACACAGAACATGAGGAAACCAAGGCGAGAGCCACATGTTGAAAGTATTCCCTTCTCTATCCATGCCACGGTTGGAACCATCCAGTTTCAGGACCACAAGTTGTGATGAGGTCTCAAGCGGAACGCACAGTCCACCTTACCGACACGTCTGGTGGTTGGACAGGCCGAGTTCGCTTCCAGAACGGGGAGGAGAGGAGGAGGAGTGAGGGAGGATGGGGGGGACGGGGAGGGAGGTGCTTTGACCAGCGTGCGATGGCTCGGAGGTGTCTCATCGCGGAGAGCTGCTCGCGTTGCCGTTGGCAACACCAGCTGAAAGGGGAATATTTCCTGGACCGTGTCATTTGGAGCAGGGGCTCAGTAAACTAAGAGACCGATCCAGAACTATTGTCGTGTTTCTTAATCTTGGCTTGGCGTATGGAGATGCGGGGCACTGGAACGGCTTGGGCCTGGGATTGATAAAGCAGCCAGCTGGCTCTTGCTTCACGAGCTATGATCTCCTTGTGAAGGTGCGGTTACATCACTTGCGCGAGTCTGGTCACCGCTGTGCGGTCAGCAGTTTATCGGATTGTATGGTTCTTCAGGTATCTCAGCGAGATGCGTATTTGTGTGTTTGTGTGTGAGTGTGTGCCTCTGTGCGTGTCTGTGCCTGTCTGCGTCTTTGTCTGTGTGTGTCTGTGCGTGTGTGTGTGTGTCTGTGCGTGTCTGTGTGTGTGTGTGTCTGTCTGGCTGTGTCTGTGTGTGTGCGGTGTGTGTGTGTGTGCGCGTGGGTGTGTGTGTGTGTGTGTGTGAATGTGTGCTTGTGTGTGGTTGTGTGTGTCACGGCTCGTGGGAGGTTGGCCTTTTGGGGGGGCAATAATACGGCACGTTTGCAGAACATTCCGTATAAGAGTTAAGTATGCGGTGTGCATGTTCTGGCATTGAATTGGTTGAGTAAATGGTTGTACTTTGAGGTGTTCAAGGTCAAAACCGACTTGTCTATCAATGTGTGTGTTCATTTGAGAGGCGACGTTGATCTCAATTGAGTGCGTGTCTCTACAACTGTGTGGTGAGGTGCACTTGTCCTAGCTAGTTGCACAACACCTTCACTCGTGCAGGCCGCGCTGAGTCATCGGCTTGTTGCCCGGGAGAAAAATCCCACCCCCTCCGAGATAGAGCAGGGGGAGGGGGAGGGGGAAGAGGGAGAGGATCAGATTTGGCGAGGTTATATGTTTTTCTTGGGGCTCGGAGGTGGTATTCTTCCGTTTTTCAGCCTGGCTGTCCTTGGTCGGGGACAGTGCGCGATGCCGAATCTGTGTGTGTTGTGTGTTGTGTTGTGCGTTGTGTTGTGGTTGTGGTTGTGGTTGTGGTTGTGGTTGTGGCTGTGGTTGTGGTTGTGGTTGTGGTTGTGGTCGTGGTTGTGTTGTGTTGTGTTGTGTTGTGTTGTGTTGTGTGTGTGTGTGTTTGTGTGTGTGTGTTTGTGTGTGTGTGTGTTTGTGTGTGTGTGTGTGTTTTTGTGTGTGTGTGTGTTTGTGTGTGCTTGTGTTATTGTGTGGCTGGAGCTCGCATTGTGCGTCGCACCTGCACCCCTAACGAGGCCACAGCCAATCCGCATAGTAAGGATGAGCGACTTTCCAGAGTTACCCTTGCATCCTGCCTCTTCGGCCCATCCTTGGCCGCTTTCGCTGGCCGCGCCCCGCTCGCAACGTGTCGACATGGCTTTCCAAGGCCCTTGTATCCTTCTCGTGCGTCCTTGTTATACGGTCGGACCGATGTCCGAGGTACAAGATCGAGGTCGACTCGAGGAGGGTACCCTGATGTTCTTCGTGCTTGTCGGATGTTCTTGTGCATCCCGGGGAGGGTACCCTAGGATGTTCTGTGATTTGGCCGGCGGAGGGTCTCATGTTTTCGAGGGATCCTCTTCTCTCCCAGGTCCGGTTGCGTACGGGTCGGCCGAACACCGCGAGTTCGAATCCCTGCGGCCTCCGACGTCCGAGACCACGGTCGGCAGAGGGCACGGGAGTACAGTGCTCCGCGCGCGCGCATGGCCTGCGACGCGGGGCGCTTGCACGAGGGAGGGTGGGCAGGACGGCGGCAGGGGCGCAGGGGGAGGGAATGGCCTGGGCGGGGAGAGGGGGAGGGCGGGCATGGGGCAGGACGGAGGGCGGAGAAAGGAGAGGGGGATTTGAGAGGGGAGGAGGGAGGATTGAGAGGGGAGGGAGGAGGGCGGATCAAGTACGGGGGGATGAGGGAGGATTGAGAGGGGTGATTGAGAGGAGTGTGGACTGAAGGAGGGGAGGAGGGGGGAGGAGAAGGGAGGAGGGAGGAGGGGGGGGTCGAGAGGGGGAGGAGGGGGTCGGATCGGGAGGGGTTGGGAGGGGGGAGGAGGAGCGGGAATTCGCGGAGGACGCAGTGCACGGGATGGAGGTGGAAGGAGGAGGTGGGGAGACCCGCAGGTCCAAGCGACGCAAAACAAAATTCGCAGCAGCCATTTTGTTTAGTTGTTCGGCCTGGGGGGTCGTTTCCTTGCCACGGGTCTGTCAAACAAACTTTGGGCGTTGCGCAATGGGAGGGGCATACATATCAGGAGGGGGAGAAAAGCACAGACACAATCACTCGTCGACCCCCAGGAAAGTATGGGAAACTATGGGAAGTGGAGGAAGGCGAAAACCTAGCACGTATGGGAAGCCATTAGGACTCGTCGGATGTGTGTCCACTTATTGGTGTATCTCTGTTCTAAAGGCGCCTCCTGGGGCCCACAAGGGGCACGAACGGTACACAGCTCTCACCCCCGATGATCACCACTTCCGTTTTTAGCCATGCCCAAGAATTGTTCAGTCGCGGAAACGTGGGACTCGAGTTCTTCAGAACGCGGGGTTGACATCGCATGTTGACGAGCCCGTCCTGGATTTTGACGGTCTAGTGTTCGTGGGATGTTCGCAGCGGGAGGTCGCGCCACATTTAAGATTGCGAAGGCCTTACGGCCGGTGCCGCCGACCCTGTTCGCAATGCGCAGCAAGAGGCACGGGCTGTGGGATGGTTTTGGGGAACGGGGAGAAGGACGAGAAGGTGGGGGAGGGAGGTGTCGTATCTGACCCGGGACTTCCCCCGGGACCCCCCCCGGGACCCCCCCTCCCCCCCCCGTCGGGGAAGGGAAAGGGAAGGGGCTTCCCTTCGACTCAATTACGACGTTGCTCAAGGTCGGTACGGGGGGGGGCGTCGTATCTGACCCGGGACTCCCCCGGGACCCCCCCCGGGACCCCCCCTCCCCCCCCGTCGGGGAAGGGAAAGGGAAGGGGCTTCCCTTCGACTCAATTACGACGTTGCTCAAGGTCGGTACGGGGGGGGGGCGTCGTATCTGACCCGGGACTCCCCCGGGACCCCCCCCGGGACCCCCCCTCCCCCCCCCGTCGGGGAAGGGAAAGGGAAGGGGCTTCCCTTCGACTCAATTACGACGTTGCTCAAGGTCGGTACGGGGGGGCCGTCGTATCTGACCCGGGACTCCCCCGGGACCCCCCCCGGGACCCCCCCTCCCCCCCCCGTCGGGGAAGGGAAAGGGAAGGGGCTTCCCTTCGAATCAATTACGACGTTGCTGAAGGTCGGTTTGGCTAGCGCGCTTGAGGAGGAGGCCCTGGGAAAGGGCGAGGGGAGCGGGGAGGAGCCCAGGGGAAGAGGGGTACCAGGGAAAGGGAACGACAGAGACGACGATTACAAAGAATGACGGAGATGACGGCTCGAACGGAAAAGCCCCTCACACACGCCGACAGGGTCGGCGGATTTGATCTCGTCAGCTTCCCTTCCTGACGGCCCCGTCAGGCTAACCCGATTCCACCGAACCCGACCCTTCCCGTTTTCCCGAATTCCAAATGAAAAGTTGGCCCCGTGGAGAGGGTCGAGATCCCCTGGGCGCGACGTCACAAAAGGGTGCTACACCTGGAGGAGAACAAGAGGACGGGAACGAATGGGGGGAGGGGAGGGGGAGGGGGGCCGAACGGTTAAGGGGGGAGGGGAGTGGGAGAGGGAGGGGAGGGGGAATCGTGGAAACGCTGACATGAATTGAAGCGAATGCGTTCCCATTATTGTTTGATCAGGATGCTCACAAGCCGTTCGAGGTCCATAAATGAGAGTGGCGATAAGTTTAGTTGTCGATCGAACAGGCCTTTGGTGCTTCATGCTCGCAGATTGCTGCTCGTGGCATGCATCCAAAACGTGCGGCGCCTCGCGCAGTAGACTGGTGCCGCAGAGGAACTGCAGGCCTGATACATCAAGCCGCTGTGGCAGTTTGATAACCCCTCCTGCCTGTGCACCCCTTCGCCGTGCGGTCGCTCCCCCTCCTCACCTTGCCCCCTCCCCGGCAGCGTGAGGACGGGGCCACGGGGTTTTCCTGGCTTCCTTCGCGCTTGCTTGGCTGCGTGTGCTTCTAGTGCCCGGCTCCCTTGTCTGCTCAACACTGTCCTGCCTGGGCGGCGTGCCGAGGGGTGACGTGAGGGGGGGGCAGGCCTTCACTTCTCAGAAGGCGGCGATGCTTCTCAGAAGCCCTACGGCCTTCAGAGAAGCCCCCTTGTCGTTTCGGAGAAGGCTCAGAAAGCTCCTCAGAAGGAGGCCTTCCGAGCCTTCTGAGAAGGCCCGCCCGCTCGGCCTTCCCCTACTTGGGCGCGTCGCCGACTGATGTCTTCAGCTGATTCCATTGCCGAGCACTGCCCGCTCGGCCACGAGCGCTGGATTCCGAGCCGGCGGGGCCTAGCGGCGTTTATTGCGCTTGGTGGGTTTTTGGAACGCCCCCACGTCCCCGTGATTGGTCCACGTCGCAGGTCCATGCACAGAGTGCTGTACATTCCCTGATATCCGGGCGATGCACTTTTTCACAACGAACGTTGTCGCTTGGTTTCGGTCGCCGGTACCATCACAGATCGATCCGGCTTGGAAAATGCCGCAGAAAGATCGGGTCTAAGGCTCCAGTCTTGATTTTCGCGATGTTGCATTTTGCTCGCGACGTGGGATCTCAGGGTTATACCACACGCACAACATGGATTAGCGGCGTGGCCCCAGGGGCCACACGACCATGATTGTGTTGCGCTCGAGTCACTAATCTGTGGAACCAGCCCGCCTGGGCCCGCTGCGCTGGAGACCCTGGACCCATGGCCGGGCACGCCCAGCCCGGAATGCGGCCACCAAGAGAAGGTTGTGGGGTGCGCAATTGGGGGACGACAAATGGGGTGTCAGCGAGGGCTGCCGGAAAGGGGCCCTGAAGGGCCCCTACCCTTTCGGGACCCAAAGGGTGCATTTAGGGCCCGAAAGGGGCACCCCATTAATTCGCGCCCAAGAGGGCGCGCTTGTGCCCGACGCTTCATCCGTAGGCTTCCGGGCGCGCTGCATCTGCATGGCGCCTGCTCTGCTGTCCTCGCCCAGATGGTGGTCGGTGGCCCAGCGCATTCTGCGATGGCATCGGCCGCGCGTGCCCTGCCAACAGCCACCGGCAGGGGGCCGCTCGACCCGTCTCCGCTGGCTGCATCCGAACCGTGGCAACCGGTCTGCATCATCGGGGGCAACGATGGGGCGACGGGGGAGGATGGTCGGGTCGGGCGAAAGGGGGGGATTGGGAAAGGGGGGGTTACGAAATCTGCTGCATGCAGCTGGTTTCGGCCTCACCGAGGGGCCCATTCCTCGATACATAGCCGCCTCCGGCGCCGGGAGGCGCCGGGAGAATCAGCTACGTGAGCTGATTCTCAAACCCCCCCTTTGCTATCCCCCCCTTTCGCCCGACCCGAGATGGGCACAGGGGAGACGCATTGGTCTCCAATGGCCCATTGATCGCCGATTGGGGCCGGATAGCCCCAACCTGCCCAGGAACATGCGGATTCTTTCTCGGGGGATTATCGCCGATCTATCGGCGATGTATCGCCGATTCCAGGTCAATGCTGCCCCCCTTCTCCCTATCCCCCCTTATCGTTGCCCCTCAACTGTGGCAACCGGTCTGCATCAGAGGAGCAAGCTTCGGATGAGAATGCGCTCCAAGATTTCAGGATTTCTGGTCGTTCCGCGCGGGTTCCCGAAACGGGAGCCGTTGGATATTCCGGACTTCCTGGATCGTGTCCCCAGCCAACCGCACCATGACATCAGTCTCGCCCTAGATGTGCACATATTGTTGCGACTGGCCCGCGCGTGCAGCATTCGACCCGCGCCGTCGGCACCATGACATCAGTCTCGCCCTAGGTGTGCACAGATGTTTGCGAATGGCCCGCGCGTGCAGTATTCGACCCGCGCCGTCGCCATTACTTCCCCCCCCCCGCGCCCACGTGTTAGAACCACGGATACTCAATCAATGTTAGCGTTGGTCGGGAGGAATGAGATGGGAAAGGAGGGAGGGGGAGTGAGTTCGGCGTGCCTCCCTCGCGTGTTGCTGCGGGCACCCATCCGCCCGCCCCCCCCCCAGAAAGAGCCGACCGAGACGTACACAGGCGCGGGCGGCAGAAAGGATGAATGGAGGAGCGGGATGAGATAGATGGACTCTCACGTCAGAGAGCCGTGAGGCAAAAGCAATGTTGAAAGCCCCGTTGTATCAAGCCCCGTGACCCTCATGCACCGACCAGGCTCGAAAGGATTGATCGAGGACGGGGACGAAGATTTCAGCTGTTATGTTGTCCAGACTCCTTGTTGTGTTGCGCGGTGTCGATGGGAGACCGGATTCGGAGCAAGAGCAGGAAAGGCAGGAGCAGAAGGAGGAGTGACGGTGAGCACGCTGGCCAGTGGGAAAAAGAGAGGGTCGTGCGAGGAGATAGGCGAGAGGATGTGGGAGAGGCGGAGAAGGACGCGGCGGCGCGCGGGGAGGACGAGAGCAGGTGGAGAAGGATGTGGCAGAAGTTCTGGGGGGCGGTAAGAGGGGGGGTGGGGGGGGGGGCAGCGAGGACGACCGGAAAGGGCAGCATAGGGCGCCTAAAGGCGCTTCTTTTCGGGCCCAGACGGAGGCCTCTGGGGCCCGCACAGGCACATCCCCCCCCTTCGTTAATTCGCGGCCCGAAGATAGTTGCGTGGGGGGGTCCACTCCCGGCGGCGTGACCCAAGGGGGCGGCTCGAAGTACGGCAAGCGGTGGGTGCCCAAGGACAACGCCTCGCAGGCGGACGAGGAGCGGCGGAGAGGGCCCGCGTTCAACCACGTCTCCCCTCGATCTTGTCGTTGGGCGAGATGGGCCGGACGAGGAAGGAGGAGGAGTAGGAGGAGGACCAGTGTAAACCCAAGTCTCATCAACGATGTTGACATACACCCTTCCCTCCCACTCTCTCTTCACAGGCCCCGTACATATTGCGAGCAGGGGGCGATCCGGGCAGAGCGGCGAAGGACCCTGCACACGCCTTCCACCACCGCAACCACGGCTAGACGATCTACCTTGAGAACCGCTGGCGGGATCGCCCGCCTCCAGGTGGGGCCCCGGCCAGCAGCTTGCCTGCTTTGCAGACCTGCGCGCCGCCACGCTGCATCCGGGCAGGCTGTGCTGACCGGCGAGGGGGAGGCGGGCGAGGAGGAGGCGGAGGAAAAACGCGGCGAGCAGACATACCCAAGCAGGAGGAGAGGGGGGAAGGGAGACGGCAAAGGAGCAGCAGGCAAGCACGCACGACGGGGGCGGGCGGGGGGCGGGGGGGGCGAGGGTCGTCGGCGGCGTACGGGTGGTCGTCGTGGGTCGCCGTGCCACTGGGGGTCGTCGCGGGTCGTCGGGGGAGGGGCGGAGGGTCGTCGTGGGGCTGGGGCGGAGGGCCGCCAGGGGAAGGGAGGGTCGTCGTGGGGCTGGGGCGGGGGGTCGTGGGGCCAGGGCGGGGGGTCGTCGGGGGCAGGGGCGGAGGGCCGTCGCGGGGCTGGGGCGGAGGGTCGCCGGGGGAAGGGAGGTGTGGAGGGCCAGCCGGCGCCGACGGCGACTCATACGGCGTGGTCTGCGGCCGCCGCCGTGGCCGCTGCTAGGCGCGCCGCCGCCGCGCCCGTCGACGGCTGCAGCCGCCGCAGCACCGCCCGCGTTTTTCCCCCGATGAAGGGAGATTGAGAGTCGCTGGGCGTGCCGGTCCGCCACTACGGCGGCTTCCTCCCCGGTGGCGTCAGCCACCCGCTTGGCCAGGATCGCGAAAGCTCTCCTGGCGTCGCGCCCCCACCCGCCACCGTGGGCCTCAACCACCATGGGTATGAAGGTGAGGCCCTGCGCCGCGCACTGGCGCTCGGTGTCCTGGTGCAGCCGCTTGAACTCCTCGTAGCGCTCCGTGGCCGCGCTGGGGGATGCGGCGGAGGCGGGGAGGAGGTCGGTGCGAAGCCCGGAAGTGACGGCGAAGTCCCAGGCTGCTGGCACCCCGTTGCGCCACCTGGGCAGGTAGACGTCAGCGGGGCGGCGGTCGCCGGCGTCCAAGTCCTGCCCGTCCGGCTCGCCGCCCGGCGGCCCCACGTTAACTTGGCGGCGCGCGGTGGGAGGAGCCCTGGCCGCTCCAGCTCAGCCCCCGCGAAGCCGGCCGCCTGCGCGTCGAAGAACCCCTGGTTCCGGAGCGCGTTGTGCCGCTTTGTCCTGTCGCCCCGGCAGGAGCAGGCAACGGCGTGGTCCAACCAGACGTCCATCACCTCTCCGCAGGCGGGGCAGAAGTCCTCCCGGTCGAGGAACTGGACTCGGAGTCGTCGCTGAACCGCCACCTGGCAGAGGCCGTGCTGGAGGCGGGTGCCCGCAGCCTCGCAGGGCGGCGCTTGGAGGTAGGCGCCGGCGCCGGGCGCCGAGGCCCCCCTTCCGCAGCTTCAGCGGCGCCTGCCGCCAGGACGCGTCGGTGAGCGAGCAGCCGGCCACCTGCTCGAGGCAAGCCCTCACCCTGTCGTCCAACTACTGCATGGCCGCCGTGTGCGCGGTGGGCGACACTACCCGCGCGCCAAAACGACGCACACTGGCGCAGGAGGTGTAAGCCGACCTGCGCGTCCTCCAGTGCCCCCGGCGTGTCCAAGAGTTCCTGCGCCGCGAAGACCCGATTCTTCGTGTGCTGGCAGCAGAAAGCGTCGTCGCCGACGGGCGCCCCGAGGAGCTCGAAACTATTATCCGTGCGGAGGCGGAACCCCTGCGGGAAGGCGTTCAGGTCTAGTGCGTTGTCAGCGCCGCCGGCTGAGACCACCTCGCACTTCCCAGGCCCAGTGCTAAGTTCGAGTCCCACCGCTGCGAGGGCGGCGACCAGCTCGTGGAGGAGGTGCGCCACGGCGCGCCAGTCGCCCGCCAGAGTCCCGTCGTCCAGGAAGAACACCTTGAGGTCGACCTGGCCCGGGGGCGCGGGCCGGGCAGGGTCGGGAGCGGCGTGAAGGACCTGTTCTGCGCACCAATGGAGAGCCAGCGCGAAAAGCAAAGGTCCAAGGGGGTCGCTTTGCTGGGCTTCGCACTCCGAGCGGATCCTGCGCTTGCCGAGGCGGAGGAAAGAGGGGCGCGAGTAGCACCAGTCGGCCCACGGCGCCAAGCTGGGGAATTCCTCGTGGAGGGCCTGGAGGAGAGGTCAAGCTTGACGAACACCTTCTCGCGGTGCCCTGGTTGCGCGCCCACCACTGGCGGGCGACGTGGACAACCGCCTCGGCCCTTCCAGGCACCGCGACGCCGACTTGGAGCGGCGCCGGGCGGTCGCGCGCCGCGACGGCGACCTCGCGGCACAGACGCTTCAAGGCGCTGGAGCGTCTCACCGACGGCAACCGGCCGCAAACCACCACCTTTCTTCGGGAGGGCCACCAGCGAGGCGCCGGCGAAACATTCAGAAACGGAGGCGGGCGCGTGGCCGCAAGCGAGGAGGGCGACCAGGCTGCGCAGCTGTCCAGTGACCTCGTCCCTGTGCGCCGCCGTGCCGAGGGCGTCCTTCAGGTGCTGTGGCCAGAGGCCCGTGGGCCCGGCGGCCGAGCCCCGGGGGAATGCCCGGACCTCCTTCGCCACCACGGTTTCGTCGACCTGCAAGGTGGCCGCGGCGTGCACGGCAGGAAGGGCGGCCAAGTCCACAGGCTGACGACTCTGCGGATGTTTGCGGCGCATCTGCTGAAGGACGTCGCGGGTTACAGCCGTCGGCGGTTCGCAAACCAAGCTGGAGCAGCTCTTGGAGTATTGCGCGTCAGCAGCAAGCTCCAGACACCTTCTGGCCTTGTCGGCGACGGTGGCGCTTCGGTTGGCCGGGCGTCGCTCCGTGGTCTCGGGCCAGAGGGAAGCCATTTCGCCGTCCAGCAAATGCCTGCAGAGCTGCCTCGTCTCCGCCTCGGCCGCGCGCCGGCTGCCGCGCCCTCCCCGGGCGTGGGGGCGCAGCGCGCACGTGGGCAGCATAGCCAACTGGACCCAAGCCGCCTCGCTGTTGGTGTGAACGACGAGGGCCGTGGCCTGCGTCAGGCACCGCGCCCAGACGTCCCGAGCACCCTTAGGGGCGTACTTCTTCGCGCCGGCCTGGCTGGCAAAGACCTCTTCCAGTAAAGGCAACCCTCGCGGCGCGCGCAGCTCGCTGTTGGGCGCGGCTGGCGCGGCGTCGGCGGCCGCAGCTCGAGCAGCGGGGCGGCGCCTCGCACCTCGGGCAGACTTGCCCAAACCGCGCGTGGCGTGGAGGAAGCGCTGGCAAACCGTGCATTGCGACAGGCTGTGTTCGTCCAGGTAGGCCTGTGGAACCGGCGGCAAGCCTGGGAACCTGCCGGCCGCGTGCTCATTGATCACGAGGTGTTGTCGCATTGCCTGATGGTCTGACCAGCCGTCGCTGGCGGCAAGGTCACTGCGAGGGCAGCCCGGGGCGGGGCAACCAACGCGGGCGCGCCGGGCGCGGCGCCGTGGAGGGGCCTCGGCTTCGTCTGCAGCTGGTGGAGGCGGCGGCGGGGGTGCTGCACTGGGCGCCGCGGCAGCCGCCTGCGGGGCGGCCATGGGCTCCGCGGCGGGAGCTGCGGCGGGACCTGCGGCCGCGGCGGGGCATTGCCCCGCCGGCGGGGCCACCGCGGGCGGCTGGTCAAGGGCAGCACCGGCCAGGACTTGCGGGGCCACCGCCCCAGGGCCACCGGCGGCAAGACCGGCCGCGCGGCGGAGCTCCGGCAGGGGGGCGCCCGCATCGACGTGCATATTCCGCTTGGGATCGACGCCTAGTTCTGCCATCAAGTCCTGGGCGGGATCCACGCCGGGGTCGTCTCCCTCAGTGAGGTTCCGCCTCAGACGGCGCCCTGGGGACCCGCGGGGAGGACCAGTCTCGACGAACGCGTTGCGGACGCCGACGTCGTGACCCGAGGATGGGACAGCCGCTGGCGCGGACCCTGACGAGGGGGAGCTTCCGGAGGCTGCGGGTCGCTGCAACGACGACTCCTGTGGAGGGGAGCGGCTGCGAGTCCCGTTGCTGGGGGCGTTGCTGCTGGGGGGGGGCCCTGGCCGGCGACCCCCGCATCCACGGCGGCAGATACCGCGCTGGCGCTCGAAGAGACATGCGTCGCACACGTCCGAAGAACAAGAGCCTGCTGGAAAAGCGGGCGACCGCGCGGCTCGGAGAAGCAAGAAGGCGCGCCCTGCCCGACCCGCCGACGACGACAAACATGTGGAACACCACGGAGACGACAAGCATGTGGAATACCACCCCGGGCTCAATGCAATGGCGGTCGCAAGCGCGATGCGTGCACATATCGGTTGCGAGAAATGGACGTCCCGGAATAAAGCGGCCCCGCACGCTCCTGCCAAGACACGTTGAGAAGAAACCCCGTGAAGAGCCGCCCCGAATGCTAGAAATGTCAAGGGCGCCGACGGCACCCCGGAGGTCGCCATCATCAAGATCGCATGGATCACAGTGGGCATCATGTGGCCGCCGGCGGCGTGAAGAAACTCTGCCAAGCATGCGCCGGCTGATGCCGGGGGGGCCCAGCCCATAGCGTCAACGAGCAGGTCCGGCAAGGGGCGCGCGCAGAAGTACGCCACGTCCAGGGTGGCCGACATCGCCGGCAAGAGCATGCGGAGGATCTTCATCACTGGGGCCGCGACCGCTGCTGGCGCCTGCGGCCACAAACTCTGGGGCACACCGACGCCAAGGGGGCTAGGCGATGTGCCAGAAGCACCGGACGCGCTGGCGGCGCAGCTGCGGAGGTGCGAGTGGAAGTACAGCTCCGCTGGCGAGGTGCGCATCGCCGTTGGGCCTGGCGTCGCAACCACCGCGTGCACGCCGAGGCGAAGGATGGAGGGCGCGATCAGGTTGAAGGTGGCCGAGGCGTTGGTCCTGGCAGACGGGGCCGGGCCGCAATCCTGTGGGGGGGAACCCCCTGGGCCTCCGAAACACAGCAGCAGGCGGCACCGCAAACAGGGGGAGGGGCGGGCGGGGCGATCAAGGGTGGGGTGATAGGAGGGCGGGGTCGCGAAGTCGCATCCCCAGAAAGATAAAGTCCCATGCTTTCCCCCGGGGAATGGAACAGGGTGGGAAGTGCCATTCCCTAAGGTACCGCGGCGGTAATTTTAACTGCCGAGTGTCGGCGGTTATTTTTTACTGCCAAGGCACTTCTTTGAGTGATGTTGTATATAAGTGTTGTGTTTATGTATTTTGTTGTCATGGTTTCGCTTTGGTTTGCATGTTTTTAACATTTCGACCGCGTGTATTTCAATTTGTATACCCTGAACCCTTGGATAATTGTCCACTTCGTCTTCGATCACACCCTTTTGGGGGGATGAGTCAACCACTGTAATTGCGAGGACATCTCGAGCGAGAGCGCCGTTACGAATTGCGAGGAATCTCGAGCGATACACAAAGCGGCGAGGATGACGACGAATGACGACCATTGCCAATTAGGCTCTAGAAACCGATCGAAGGCATACGTTCGCCAAGAGCCCCTTGTTACTACGCTCGGCGTGGAGATGGCGGCCGATCCCTGCGTGATTGAGGTCGAGGACACTCCTGCGCCCCCGCAGTCCGTGGAAGAGGGCATGCCGCCGACGGACCACGCGACGGACCAAGATGAGGAGGAGCAGATCCCGTGCACGCAGACCTTGCCTGACGACTGGTCGCTCGACCCTGCCAAGTGGCCACGGTCGACGTCATGGTCGCAGAACCCGTTCAACCCAGAGAATGACGTGGCAACGGCCGAGATGGCGGAAGAGGCGGCAGGCGGCGCCACCCCGTCCGCGCTCGACGCTTCGGTCGCGGTCGACTCCGACGAGGACCCGCTGCTTAAGCCCCAGAGGGGAGCCGCCTCAAGCGTCCGGCGCGACTCGGTCGAAATGGATTTGGCTGAGGCGGCGGCGAAGCGGGGCTCTGAGGGTGTCATCGCCGAGCCCCCGAAGAAGAAGCGGAACTGGAAGTTGAGGCTGGATGGCGAGAACGCGCACCTCCAGGCGCAGGAGTACCCCCACCCGATGGCGGCGCAGCTGACTGGGCCAGGGGACCAGGGCGCGGACTTGCTGCAGGGCACGCCGCCCTCGAAGAAGATGATGATGAATGAAATCGCCGTGATGGTCGAGGACATCAAGCACTCGACAGAGTCGCAGGACGAGTCCACGGTCGTGGCGAAGCTCAAGGCTTTGGTCACCTCGAACAACATGAAGCGCCTGCTCACCCTGAAGCAGTCGGACACGCCGACTCCCGAGAAGACCGAGAAGACCGAGAAGGGGGAGGATGCCGAGTTCGACGACACAGTGGACTGGGCGACCTACTGGGACGAGGTCAAGGACCGACGGAGGTCAACGGAGGTCAACGCTGGGTCAACGCTGACGTTGGCCCAGCGTCGACCTCCATTGACTTCCATTGTCATGCATCGCCTCTCCCCACCCGTCCTGCCCCCTCCCGCGATATAAGAGTTGTGAACGGCGCTCGGGGCGGAGAGAGATTGATGCCGCGCGCGTCGCCCTTCAGCTCCGAGCACCGATCGCAATTCTGAATCCCAGGAGGCGATGGGAATGGACGGGGGGCGCCGCTCACCCCTACCGGCACGCGGTGGGGATGAGCGGCGACGCGGCGCTGCCAGGAAAACGGCTACCAATTCAGCACCAAGGGGAAGAAGGGGAACCCTCTGGCAGGCAAGTGGCAACGCCAGAAAGCTAAGAACGAGAAAATCAAGAAAGAATATGCTGCCGCGAAGGCGCTCGGCATTGACAAGATGAATGAGTACTGCGCGAAGTGGGCCGAGGACATCCACAAGAAGTGGACCAAGACTCAGACGCACGCGGAGGCGACGTCCAACGCGTGGATCAAGGACACGGAGATGCTGACCGTCGGGAGGATCGCCTGGAAGTTCGGAGGGGGGGCCGAAGGGTGGCGCGCTGCAGGTGCGCACTGCAGCAAGTGCGCCCAGCTCGGCCCCCCTTCATCGACTACGACGACAGCGCGGAGATCATGATGTTCCCGTACGTGCGGCGCATCTTCAGGGAGCAGTTCTCCGAGACTCGGGCGACGCACCAAAAGTGGCTGGTCGACGTCATGGAGGCGGAGGAACCGCTCCCGCCTCCTCATCCCTATCCTCCTCCTACTCCTACTCCTCCTCCTCGTCCTCTCCCTCGAATCCCACGTGTTTTACGCATGTTCCCATCGATTGCCCTTCTCCTGTGGATCCAACCATATATGTACGAATGTTCCTATAGATTGCCCCTTTCCAGCGGCTCGAATCCCCTGCGTGCGCGCGTATGTTTACGCATGTTCCTATAGATTGCCCCTGCTCGAATCCTATGTGCTTTACGTATGTTCCTATAGACGGCCCCTTTCCCAGGGCTCGAATCCTATGTTGAATACGTATGCTTCTATAGATCGCCTCTCCTCTGTGTTTCGAATCCCACGTGTTTTACGTATGTTCCGCCAGATTCCCCCTCTGTGGCTCGATTCCTATGTGTTTTACGCGTGGAGGACGTCGAGGTGGAGGAGGTGGAGGCGGTGCGGCGAGCGGGGGGCGGGCGGGGCAGAGATGCGTCGGGACCTGTCCGCCCGCGCTGAGGAGACCAGCGAGGTCGCGCAGGCCGCTGCAGCGGGGCCGAGCTCCAGCGGGGCCCAGGCGCGCGCGCGCCAGCCGCGCGACGACGAGGGGGGGGGCGAGGATGAGAAGGAGCAGGAAGGGAGAAGGAGGAGGAGGAGGCGAGGAGGAGGAGGATCGAGAAAAAAGAGGAGGATGAGGCGAGGTGGAGGATGGTGAAGAGAACGAGCAGGACAAGAAGGATGGGCAGGGGTGACGAGGAAGAGGAGGATTGGGAAGAGCATGAGGAGACGAAGGAGGAGGAGGAGGAGGAGGAGGAGGAGGAGGAGGAGGAGGAGATGCCTCTGGTAAGGGCCCCCCTTGCTAGGCCGCAGCTGGACCTACCGGCGCAGCGGCCAGCGGCGCTGCGGCGGGCAGCGCGTCGAAGGAGGGGAGGGCGCGGGCGGGTGCCATCGCTTCTGTGTCGTCGTCGTCGTCGTCGTGTCGTCGTCGTCGTCGCCGTCGTCAGCGTCAGATACTTGGAATAAGGGCCACTCTGGTTTCGGGGCGGGCTCGACGTGCATGAGAGGTCCTGGGCCCTCCCTCTGCTGGCCTCACCTGGGGCCGAAAATAGAGCCCGCTTCCAAGTAGCAAGACTTTGACTGGCGAAACTCGTCGTCGTCGCCGCCGCCGCCGCGGCTGCCGCCGCCGCCGCCGCCGCCGCCGTCGTCGTCGTCTTCGTCGTCGTCGTCGTCGTCGTCGTCGTCCGCGGCGGCGGCCACGGCGACGCCCCCCCGCAACCTCCCCGCTGGGCATCCATCGCCATCGCATCCGTAGCGCCATGATTGGCTCCAGGCTATTATCGAGCAATCCCGCCCATGAAGAGGCCCGCGGCATCTTCGGGCGACGGGCCACGCGGCGGTCGGCCAGCAGGTTCTCAGACCACGCTCAGCGACGACGCCCAGAAGAAGGTCCTCGAGGCCCTCAAGCAGAACATCAGGAAGCCTGAGGATGCCGACTACACCGACGGTGCCCAGGACATCGAGACGCTGAAGAAGAATCAGAAGCTCTTGATCAAACTTCGGTCCATCACGGACGTCATCCCCGCGAAGTCGATCCTGGTAACGTTGCTTTCAGATGTGGCCTTTGAGAAAGAGGCTACGTGGAAATTGGCCGACGCCCTGGGAAGCTGGGCGAGTCAGAAGGCTGGCTACGTTCACCTCGTGCTCCAGCACGTGGCGAATGCGGCGCGGAAACAACCAGTACCAAAATGGGTTCGCTGCATTGTGGACGAGAGCGGCGACGAAGCCAACGAGGGCAAAGACGGGGAGGTCGACAAGGTCCCCGACGAGGACGAAGAGGACGAGGAGGAAGAGGAGGAGGAGGAGAAGGAGGAGGAGGAGGACTTCGAAGAGGACGAGGCCGTCAACGAGGAGGACGAGGAGGAGGACGCCAAGGCCACGAAGAAGAAGGCTACTAAAGCGGCACCGCGAGAGCCTGCCCAGGGCTCCAGCACGGGCAAGGAGGACAGCAAGTATGAGATGAAGGTCGGCCAGTGGACCATCGGCTGGAGCTTGGATCTAAAGGCTGCGGCATATTATTTACATAACAAACAAAACACAACAACTAAAAAAAACGATGGTGGTCTGGCATTTCGGGCATTCTCGCATCATTGGAAGCTGATCGGGGCATCGCGGCTGAACGGGCGGCGTCGCGGGGACCTACCGGGACCTACCGGCGCCAGCGGGGATGTCATTCGCTCGGAATCCTGGTGCCAGAAACGCAAGGCCCCGATTTGCTTGTCCCCTATCGTTCGCGCCAGGCGCGCTGGCGGCACAAGGAGGGCTCGAAGCTGCCGAAGGAGTTCGGGGTGACCAAGCCCAGCGAGGACGGCGTCGGCAGCTCGGCGGCATGGCCCGACGGCATGAAGGTGGACTTGCCGAAGGAGTGGCACATCGAGGACGAGCGGCCCGCCAAGGGGGCGAACCTCATCGTCTGGGAGGGCCAGAAGGACGGGGTGAGGTTGCAGGCGAAGGTCACCAAGAAGCACGATGTCGAGTGGCTGACCCTGTGGAAAGGCGGGTGCGACGGCCATAAACTAGAGCAGAGTACTGCGGTCAGCGGCTACACCAGCAAGGAGAAGGGCATCGAGATGATGAGGGCGCTGTGCGCAATGTACGTGGAGGGGAAAGACAAGTCAGAGCTCGAGGCCGAGAAAGCCAAACACGGATTCGGCAAGAAGAGCGGCGTCAAGAAACGCCCATCAGCAAAAAAACGCCCAGCTGCTGCAGATGAGCCCGTGGAAGCTGTAGCAGATGATGGCACCAAGTCGAAACGGAGCAAGAAGGACCAGCCGCCGTCGGTCGTGCACGACAGCAGTGCAGCTACAGATTCGCCAGCGGCGCCGAACACTGAGGGCAGTGCGAGCGCCGAGCCTTCCGTCGCGACTCGCCCTGCGGCTCCTCCCAAGCGGGGCATCCCGCCGCTTCCAGCAATTCCACCGAGCTCGTGGTAGACTGGCTAGCACGGTTGCGGGTGAGGTTGGCTCGGACATCAATCATCTCATCGTCACCGTTGCACCTCCCACCTTGAATCCCGATGCTACTGTGGTCAATCGTCGTCCTCGTCGAAATCATGAGGGTTGGCGTTGAAAACATCGTGGGCCGTCATCCCTACCAACTGCCATCCTCGTCGAAATCATGGGGGTCGGCGTTGAAACCAACGTGAGCCTCCCCCATCCTTCTCCTGCTCCTCCTCCTCCTCCACCTTCTTTCCCGCCTCCTCCTCCTCCTCCTCCTCCTCCTCCTCTCACTCCTCCTCCTCATCATCATCCTCTCTTAGTCCATGGTCACTCCCGCTCCGTCATGGCACTCGCAACTTCCTCTCCATCCTCGACGCCCCCATCCCCTCGCTGATCCAACCACTCCGCGCTCGCGCACTCCTGGATCTCTCCCCGCGCGCCTTGCCAGCCGCCGAATCCCTCCCCGCCCTCGTCAGCAGCGTTGCCGCCGCGCGAGGCCGCGCGCACAACGTGCGCGCGCGAGTGCGCAGCTGCGCGACGCGCAGAGGCGGAGGAGGAGGAGGAGGACGACGACGACGATGACGGCGGGGAGGATGACGAGCATGGAAGAGGACGAGGCGAGTAGGAGGAAGAGGAGGATGAGGAGGAGGAGGAGGAGGGGGAGGAGGAGCGGGATGACGAGGAGGAGGAGGAGGAGGAAGACAATAGGGGGAGGAGGAGGAGGGCGAGGAGGAGGAGCAGGGGTGAGCATGGGCAGGGGAGGTCGGCAAGACCAAGATCGCGCCGATCGACGACAGCGACGGCGCGAGCACAAAGGACGCCCCGCTCTTGCGGAGGAGGAGGGGCGAGGATGCGGAGGCAGTCGGATGAAGGGGGAGAGGAGGGATGCAAGGACGAGGAGGAGGAGAAGGGGGGGGGACATGTGAGACTTGTGTTCGGTTGGAACTCGTCCAGCTTGCATTTGGCAAAAGACCTCGTGGTGGGCGGATGACGGCGAGCCCGCCTTGGACGCCACTGAGGCTCTGGAAGGGGAGGTCGTCTTGCTTAATGGTAATTATGGTGGGGCGGGGGGGGGGCCGGGCACGCCGATGCGCCCGCCCGAGGACCGCCGTGGCGCGCGGAAGGCCGCTGGGCAGCCTGCGACCGCGGGCGAGCAGCCTACCGGCGGGGCCGCGAACGGGGGCGGGTCCAAGGCGACGGCGAAGGCAATTGCTGCGGCCGCTCCTCCTCCCAAGGCTACCGGCGACATCGGCGGCAAGGGCAAGGGCAAGGGAAAGCCTGGCAAGGCCAAGGCCAAGGCCCAGGCGAAGGCTGGTGCCGCGGCAGGGGAGGAGAAGAGAATTGGCGCGGTCAAAGCCGCCAAGGCCATGGTCACCAGGTACTCCAGCGTGACTGCCCACGCCACCACGTTTCAGCACCAGCTCAAGACTGACCCAGGCTGGGTGCAGCTCGTCGAGAATGAGCCCGACCTGCTCACGGACTTGGCGGACAAGCACGAGGACGTCAACAGCTACATCGCTGACAATGCGCTGTCCGACGTGGTCATGTCGGGGTGGAATGAATGGAAGAAGGCGACCCCCGAGCTGCAGTACATGACAATGTTTCCGACCATCATCGGGATGGAGGGCGTGCTCGACGAGCTCGCTTCGGAGATCCAGTACATCATGGAGTCAAAGCAGCTGGCGGACCAGAAGGCTTTCATGAAGAGCCAGAAGGGCAGCGCTCCTTGAGTGCGCTGCTCCCAGATTTCGAACCTGCCAAGCGGCCGATCTATGGCTGTAGGTCTCGATGCCATCTGGGAGAGGTTGCGCCGCCACGATGGTCGGGGGACGCAGGTATGATATAGCAGTCGAGGAATGGGATGGGGTGGGCTCGTGGCTTTGCAATCTTTTACACGCGTGCGCGCATGCTGCGCCGCTGAGGGGGTTCGCGCGCATGCGCGAGGCACGCATGAGGGTTCCAGATGGTTTCAATATCGTTGCTAACGCACAACCGCCGACCAACACATTGACAAACATTAGATTCGCCGTTGCATTTGCACGTGATTTAGGTAAACATGCCTTCGGCTTGCTGTGACTTCTCACCGAACCACTGTCGACCGATCGTTCGCCCACCGTTGACCGCCTCATCTGGTCGTCAAACCACCGTTGACCGACCGTTGACCGCCGTAAACCGACCGTTGACCGACCGTTGACCGACCACGGTCAACGCACCGTTGACGTAGCGTTGACCCAGCGTTGACCAGGCACCAACCAGTGTAAATTCACAGGTTTGGCGACCGTTGACCGACCCTCGACCGTTGACCGTTGACCGTTGACCGACCGTTGACCGACCGTTGACCGTCGTAAACCGACCGTTGACCGACCGTTGACCGACCGTTGACCAACCGGAAGTGGGGCCGACACCACTGTTGACCCGCCGTTGGTCCGCTGTTGACCGCAGCCCGACCGCGTTTCAGATATCGTGACGAGCTCAAGCGCCGACCTGCATCACGCATGCAGCCCCTCCTGGGCCAGTGCGTTCACTTCGTGGCAGCCTGCCGCAACCATACTCACCCTTGCATGCGAGCCCCGAGTCCACCTGGATGCAACGCTCGTCGTGAAATCGCTTCCCATACGCCATGGGCCCACTCGGGCATGACGAGGTCGCTCTGGCAACGTCAGTGGGCGTAGGCACCACTGCTTTCGCTTTTGCCGCGAGGTTTCGGCCATGGGCGTTTCGACCCCCGTGAGCGGGGAGGCGTGCCTTGCTGCTGAAAACAACTGCAGGGCTTACAGTGTAGTGAGCGCTGCGGCGTTGTTCATGCCATGCGGACCATGCTACTTACGGTGATCGGGGGTTAATACGTGTTTCTTTGTGGGGGGCATCGGTAGTTCTGGGGAGTTTTCAAGGTTGTAACGTGTATGTCTGTCAACACTAGGAAGTCT